GATTCATTATTATAGAAAATTTGAAGAATTAATAAAATCCAAACTCTACTATCACTAATAAATTGTGTAATTCGTCATTTAGTCATTAAAGCTTTTAGAAAAATTTATAGTTAATCAATAATTTTCAAACATTAGCTTTATTTTGAAAAAAGGAAAAAAAACGAAAAAAAAAGAGAGAATGATATGTCACAAATAGCTTAGGAGGGAAAAAATTTTATAAGAAGATGACACATGTACAATGGTAATGTTAGCGGTAATTACTTAGTATTAGTTATAGATAGATTATAGATAGTTATTGATAAGGAAAATGATAAACATGTATAAGCAGCTAAATAAGGAAATATTGAAGATAAATTAACATTAATTACACAGATTTGCGGGTGATTTTGTTATGAATTCACAACTTAATTCCATTTCAGGAAGTATATTTATTGTTTATACATAGCCCTAAGGGCTACATATATTATTATCCTTAAAATAAATGCCCTATTTTATCTTTTTGCATTATTCACATAATTACTTTTTTTTTTTACAAAAAATTCAAATAATTTACTTTGACTATTATTAATTATTAATCATAAGAAAACATATACATAGTCATGCAATTACATATTGAAATTGTCTTAAACTCTTAATGTATAATTTTCAAATATCAACTTAAAAAAAAAAAAAAAAAAAACTTTAGTTATCGATAATTAAAGTTATTATGATCAATTATGTATTGGCATTAAATTGACATAGCAATTAAATTGAGATATTTATTTTGAAGCAAAGTTAGTAAAATTATTTATGGCTTTCCTAATGTAATACTTCCTCTGTTCTTTTTTACTTGACCTGTTTCTTTTATCACTCTTGCCAATGCAAAACTTTTATGATTAATAACTTTAATTCTCCATAAGTAAAAATTATAAAAGTTATATATTATGATAGAACTTCTTGAGACAAATTCAAAAATATCCAACATGAACATGTTTTCCTTACAAATTATTCATAAAAGATGATCAAAGAGGAGTGGTGAATAGTATAAAAGTCAAAGTAGGTCAAGTAAAAAAGAACGGAGGAAGTAAGATTTACCCAAATGCTCTTTTTAGTTGGTCAATAATCGACATGTTACTATACATCTTGAGTCTTGACCATGGTATATGAAGTACGAGTAATAAAATGATTATACACTTGGAAAAGGAAAGGTCCACCACCAGCCATCATATATTGAATGCAATCATATACCTTTCGGACTAAGTTATTTCTTTTGTACTTGATGCAATCATTTTACAAAAATGTCATATCAACTCGTGTAAACTTTCTACTAGAATTGTGCTATTGTTCAAAAGCACAAGTCCATTCAAAGATTTTGGCTAATTCATTTGCACTTTCTACTAATAATTCAAGCGTGCATGGAATTTAATAACTTCGCTATTTTCAATCGTTATCACTATCTTTTTATTCTATTTCAATCATATTTTACCAATGTGAACATTGAATTTATTACGGAGCATACATTAGACTAGTGTACTCCAATGAACGATTTTAAATAATAAATTAATATTAATTTTATTTTCTGAGATACTTCTCTATAAACTACTTGATTTTGTAACAAATAGAGTTAAGTATAAGAATGGGGACTAAGTTTTTAGTTTTTTCTCCTTTTGGGACCTTAGTTTTTTTATTTCACCTTTTGGGACCTCTAGTTAATAATCCGGCAAACTAACCTAAGTTTAACTCACCGGAGCAAAAACTTAATCCCTTCATTGAATTTATGTACCTTTTATTAAATTTCTTGTAAAAAACCTTAGTCCCTTAACTTAATACATGGCAATTCCAAAAACATAGGTTCTTATAATTTTTTCTCCGTGCTCGGATTTTATTTTTACACCATAAGGTTTTGTTTTAAGGTTTAAAGTGATTTATGTTCTTGATAACTTCATTTTTTTTTTCTTTTGATTTGATTGGTTTTATTTTCTTGATGGGTTGATTATATATGCAATTTTTTTTGTATGTTTTTATGCTCTTCAATTTATTATATGATACAAATATTTGATTTGTACGTGTTCAACTTAGAAAATTGATTTTTTTTTTACGGAGTATTATATACGCGTATATAAAAAGAGTTTATTAGAGCTCGTTTTGTGTAGTTTAATTCCTTAAAATATTCAAAAAAAAAAATTAAAAGTTTTTTTTTTTTGTTCCAGATTTAAAATTAACAAATTGGCATAGGTATGATTAACTTTATAATCAGTGTTATTTCATATTCTTATGAACATCATTAAATATTGAAATTGAATAATGACAATAATGAAAGTGGAAGCGTTAATAAAAATATAAACTTAGTCCCTCACGTTTTATAAATTAAGGAAGTAAAAGTAGTAATAATTACAATGCTAGGATTACACTTTCTCGTATTTTCCACTTGTATGTGGGTTTGGGGTGTGGAAATGCTAATTTACCCTTTGTGATTTTATTGGATATGAAATCAGTTCATCGTACAAGAGATTTCCCATATTGATGTGGCTCAAATGTCCCTAAAATAATCACTTAAATTGGTGGAGAATTGAGTAATTGGAGGAGTGTTGTTAAGTGTGGAAATACAAATTTACCTTTTACTTTTTAGGGGACTAAGTTTTTTAATAGGGGACTATGTTTTTTTAACTAAAGGACTATGTTTTTTTTAACTCATCTTAGTTACTTTTTGGCCGGAAAGTGGACTCTAGGTCCCAGACGGTGGAAAAAAAAAACTTAGGTCTCAAAATGTGAAAAAATTAAAAACTTAAACCCCAATGTTATACTTAACTCGTAACAAATAACACAACTCAAAGTATGAAAAGTATTATTCACGAGGATCATGCATGAGTAAAAACACTTACCTAATGAGTAATGAACTGCATGCAAATTAAGTGCCAATGATTCTATGTAGTTTCGCATCAAATTTTAGATCTTTGTTTACTTTTGGTTTAATCAAGTTGATTTGCAATCTATGGCTATTTTAGCTTACAAAAAATCTCAAAATTATAACATTTATACACGGATAAACTCTTTATTTTAAGGTTGTATATTGTGTGTTGAAACGTAGATATGAAGGAATGCAAAGTTATCATGTATTTAGCTTACTACAACAATGACCGGGTAGCTTTTATAACACCCGACGAAATAACCCTTTCAATATTGACGGAGTAACTCTTATAACACTGACGACGTAAACCTAAGAATTTGTGTTGTATACTTGATTTTTTTTTTTTTAAAGTTTGAAAATAATTTTAATTTACTAAAAATAGTTTCAGTGCAATAAAAATCAGTAAAAAAAATATATTTTTTTGGTGTTTAAAGAGCCACATGAGCGGGGGTGAGAATCAATCCCAAGATCTCCTAGAATCGGGAGGAAAGCTCTAATCACCTGAGCTATCCATCACTATCATAATAAAAAAAATCGTAATTTCAAAGAGAAAATATAAAAAAGAATTAGTTAAAATAAGTTATAATTAGTAAAATTTAATATTAATCTAGCAAAAATGATTTTAGATTTACAAAATTAATTTCACTTCAATAAACACAACGCTGGTACAACAAATATAACGTGAAGAGAACAAGAGGATCCATATACGGTTTCTCATTTGGAAGGTTTTTCTAGCCTTCGTTGCTAACTTTTTTTTATTTTCCACTCTTCTTCCTTTTTTCTCATTCTCTTTTCTTCTGGGTCTCACTTACAAATAAAGATGGGCATCGTACCATGTCGTGTCAAGTTTTGGCACACCCCAGCCCACGACAAGCACGACCCATGTGTCTAGCAGGCCGTGTCGTGTCGGGCTGCGGGCCACCACGATTTTTAAATTTTTAATTATATATATATATGCCAAGTTTTGGCACACCCTAGCCCACGGCAAGCACGACCCATGTGTCTAGTAGGCCGTGTCGTGTCGGGCTGCGGGCCACCACGATTTTTAAATTTTTAATTATATATATATATATATATATATTATAAAAATAACTTGCCGGCTTGCCGACAACCGTGCCTGTGCTGTGTCAATTTTCAACATTTGTGTTCACGGCACGCCCCGTGCCGAAGTCGCGTCGGGCCCGTGTCGCCCGCGTGCCGGCACGGTCGTGCCCATCTTTACTTACAAATCTTTGTAGGGCCTTCCATTAATGCTCTTACCGATAGTTAGGCACAAAAACGTTTAATTGCTTTCAATAAATAGATATCATCCTTTAAATGATAGTTAATTTTATTGTTTAGTTTCTTTATTTGTTCGTCTGACCGAGATTGATTATCTAGAGTTTCAAAATCTCCATAAGTATTTAGATGACCACACGAGTATTTTCACTCAAATGACTATGCACGAGTGGATTTTAAACCGGATTAGTGCTAACTTGCTTATTATTTTATCAAGACAATTTTTGATCGAAACTACGATGTGATAAGTATGAGTTTAGGCACACGTATTGAAATTTTAAATTTCTTAGGATTTTTTTCTCTCTGACTTGACTATTTTTTATCGATGAAATCCTTTTTCTTTTTGTAAAAAAAAATAATAATAAAAATTAAATTTTAAAGAAGAAGACCTAATTCAAAATTTTGGGAGAAATTTTAAAATTTAGTCACTCAACCCAACTGGTAAATTTTGGACAAGCCAGATTGCACCCTAGATTTGACCCACTTATTTTTTGTTTCTTCAAGTCAGACAGTTTCGGAATTTGGGCCATTTTCAAGACCCAATTTAATATGGGGTCGATTTTCAGAATATTGATATCATTAAAATTGCAATTCAGACCCAAATAGCAGGAATGCCCAATATATTGGGCTTTTTTATATTGGGCCTCTCTAACCAACAATATCATTACTATTCATTTTTTCACAACATATTCAAAATTCAGAATTCCTTTAGAATCTTCACATCTCCATTCTCCACCATCACCACCACCGGAAACCGCCACCATTACCACCTTCCTCCGGTCAACTTCTTCGCACCACCGGAAAAGTTTCTTCCTTTATTTTTATTCATTTAAAGAATTGCTCTGGCTGTAGTTCAAAAGCCACTGCACATTCTTTTAGAGCAGAAATTCATCTCTTTATTACAATCATGTAAAACCATTAATCATCTTTATCAAGTTCAAGCTCAAATTTTTGTTCATGGATTAGATCAAAGTTACTATGTAGTCCCCAAAATTATTGCGAGAAGTTCGTTGTTGAAGCATGTTAGTAATGCACGCCAGCTGTTTGATAAAATGCCTGAACCAGATGATGTGATTTATAATGTTATGTTTAAAGGGTACTGTCAAAATGGGATGCACAATGAAGTTATTTCTTTGTTTGGGAAAATGATGGGTTCTTGTGTTAAGCCAAGTTGTTATACTTTTCCTATGATTTTGAAGTCTTGTGGAAAGTTGTCTGCTTTGTGTGAGGGTGAGCAAGTTCATTCTGTTGTGTTGAAAAATGGGTTTAAGAGAAACCCTTTTGTGGGTAATACGTTGATTGAGATGTACTCGGGTTCCGGTGAAGTTCAACGAGCGTTTAAGGTGTTTGAGGAAATACCATTGAGAAATGTTGTTAGTTGCACTAATATGATCAGTGGGTTTATTTTATCTGGGGATATGAAATTAGCTAGAGAGCTTTTTGACTTGGCTGTTGACAGAGATGTTGTGTTATGGAATACTATAATATCTGGATATATTGATGCTGGGGATACGGAGAATGCATATAAGCTCTTTGATGTGATGCCACATAAGGATACGATGATGTGGAATACTATGTTGAATGGGAATGCGAACAGTGGGAATGCCGATGCTTGTGAGGAGTTGTTTGAAGTGATGCCAAAGAGAAATGTTTTTTCTTGGAATGGATTGATTGGTGTTTATGCAAATCATGGTTGTTTCGTTGAAGTTTTGACTACTTTCAATCGAATGCTGTCTGAAGCTGAGGTGCTTCCGAATCATGTAACCTTGGCTACCATATTGGCTGCTTGTGCACGATCGGGTGCACTTGATTTAGGAATGTGGGTGCATGTTTATGCCCAGCGCATAGGATATAAAGGACATATTTCTGTCGAAAATGCTTTGATGGACATGTATGCAAAATGTGGACGAATAGAAATTGCTAAAGATGTGTTCAATGGCTTGGTTAAAAGAGATTTGGTATCTTGGAATACCATTATTGGTGGTTTAGCAATGCATGGTCATGCCTCAGATGCCTTAGCTTTATTTGATGAGATGAAAAATGCTGGGGTACAACCTGACGGAGTCACCTTTGTGGGTGTTCTTTGTGCCTGTACTCATATTGGTTATATTGATGAGGGTCTGGCTTATTTTCAGAGCATGTCTGATTATTCCATAAGCCCTCAGATTGAGCACTATGGTTGTCTGGTTGATTTATATGCCCGATCAGGTCATCTGGCCGAGGCTCTTAATTTAGTAAAAATGATGCCCTTGAAGGCAGATTCTGTCATATGGTCCTGTTTGCTAGGGGCCTCTAGGGTTTACAAAAATATGGAGATGGCTAAGCTGGCTCTCAAACATCTGATTGAGCTTGAACCAGGGAATCCGTTAAACTACCTTACATCATCAAACATTTATGGAGATGCTGGGAAATGGGATAATGTGTCGGAGCTTAAAGTTGCTATGAGGGATACTAGATTTCAGAAAAAGCCAGGTTATAGCATGATAGAGATTCATGACAAAGCAGTCGAATTCTATTCATCAGATCACAGGCATCCCGAGATGGCACAAATATATGTATGCTTGAGAAATTTATCTAAGATTATACAGTCACTAGGATTCCGACCTGAAGATTTGAACCTTGATTAGGAAGGCTTGATTTAACTGGGCATGTTATGATAGACGGGGAAAAGGAGTTTGATTGAGTCTGCCACATATTAGCTAGTTTTCCAAGCTCAACTTCATAACTCTTTTTTAAAACATTCTCGAGGAGATTTCAGAATACAGTATTTTTCATATGAGCATGGGTGCATGGCATAATGTATACATGATCGATCATTGACATTGATGATGGTAAAGTGTTTATCGTTATTCTTATAACTGCATCCTGGTCAAGAAAAAAAAAATCTGATACAGTGCCCAATTATCAAATCTGGTGCTAAGCATATAGCAACTTTGATGTACACTGATTGCATATTGGTCTTAACTACTACATACGGAGTACTACGTATTTTGAAGCAAAGGCATGTAACAATGTAACATATTAAACTTGGAAAATTCTGCTCCAGGAATGCTGAGCATCTACTGTAATTCGAACTACAATTTCTCAGTATAAATCAATGGTCAGATGCTAACTTCTTTGCTATTTTTTATCTAGATGCGTCTTTGCTATTCTCTGACTTTTTTGTTGTGAAAATTTACCAAACATAATCTATTCAACATACCTATAACCTATCGCTTCATGAAGCTAAAGAACCTCCCTTCTCCAGGCCATCATCACTTTGTGTCTTTGTGATAGTCCCTTTCCGGTCTCTTCTTTCCCACACCTCTCTTCAAACCATGCTTCCTGGATGATTTAACGCCTCAAACTCCTCTTTGTACCGCAGTTCACCCTAAACGATGGAGACCTCCAAACCATCCTAACTCATCCTCTGCCACTCCAACAATCCCTTTGCAAATAAATTTTTAGTTTCGATCTTCAATATATACTCCCGTAGTTCATAATAGAAAGGGGTTTTAGGAAGGTGGTTGCTAATTGGAAACGAAAAATTTACTTCAAGGCAAATATGTAGCTCTTTTCTTCAATCATTGCAGTTGCAAGGCAGTGCTTTAATTATTAGAAATAGACGAGAGCATTTTGTACCCCCACAATCTCAAATATGATAGCAATATAGCATAGATCATAGTACAATATGAATGAGGCTTTTAGTGGCTACATTTGATCATACTAGAGGACATAAGAAAGGATTGATGGAGAGAATGCATACGGAAAAAAAATTATCGGTAAAAAAGCATACTAATATGTCCAAGAATTCGTACTATTAAACAGGCAAAAGAGTTTTACTAATATAAGAAAATGAGTTATTTTTTAGGATGGACTCTTTTCACATTGGTAAAATGAAGGGAACATTGAAGTTAAAATATGTGATAAGTTTGTTTAAAAGTCTGTGGCGTCTTTCTCCGTTAAGACTTGAGGTGGGTCAGTGGGAGGACATGAATTTTGTTGAACGGTGTACCGTTATGACCAAACATTGCAATGTTCAACATTGGTGGGAATTATTTCTCATGTTCATATGGAAAATCTGGAGCATAAGGAATTTGTGGACTTTTGAAGGTGTGAGAGCTGATTTGATGATAGCTTGCTCCAAAACTCTCAGCCTATTAGGCGAATTTGAAGCAGCTCAAACCAGAGAAAGTGGCCCTTTAACAGCAAGTGATGCTCCCTCTGAACAGTCTTGGATACCACCTGTTCCAGGTATCTTCAAGCTAAATATTGACGCGGCTGTGAGCAAAGATGGAAAGGTGGCTCTTGGTATGGTTGTACGTGATCAGTGGGGTGATGTTCTAATGTCAGGCAGCAAGCCCCTAGCAAGGCAATGTAGTGTTATTGAGGCCGAAGCTGAAGCTGCTCTGTTTGGGGTAAGCTATGCGTATGATGCAGGTTTCAGAAAGCTGGAAATTACGACAGATTGTCTTCCCTTATTAAAGCTCCTTGAATCACAATCACAGGAAAGATCCCCCGTGCAGATGATCGTTTTTGACACTCTTGATGTTATTAGCAAGCTTGATTCTCATGTTTTTTCTTTCTTTCCTAGATGTTGTAATAAGGTTGCTGACTCCATTGCAAAACTCTCTCTATCTTATATTGAGGAGAGAATTTGGATGGAGGACTGTGAGTTCTCTGTTCTTCCCCTTGTACTAGCTGACAAGGTGAACTCTTGTCAAACTTAATACTACTCTTTTGCTTCTCGTCAAAAAAAAAAAAAAAAAAGACTTGTAATTTCAATGCTAGGCGACTAGGTGGTGTTCCATACATGTTGCCACGACTAAATGGATGGCAATGGAACATTCATAGCACTATGTAGCTTATTGTTTTCACAGTCATATACTGACTTCAAGGCTTATAGCTTAGGTTTCTATTGGAGCTTTTTTATGGTCTTCACAAGTGGATACCCTCAACCTATGGACCCATACTTGCACCACCCTATAAGAAGTTGAGGAATAGACCCACTATGAAGAGAAACCAATATTGATGAATCATAGAGCATCAAATACTTAGTGATATGCGGAATATCTCCATTTGTCTCTATTTGTTTGTCCTATTTGTCTTTTTACAATTATTGGTATATAATTTAAAACATAAGTATGTTATACTTTATTTAAGCAAAATTTATAAGATTGTAATATTCTACAAGTATGCATTAAAATAAATCCAACGAGATTTTAAGTGATTATATTATTTCTTATAGATTTGTAATATTCTATACAGTTCTCAATATATGATTCAAAGTTATGTTTGACTCACTATTGTGTAATGCAACAAACAAACAAACAAGGAAAAATGAAGTAACTAGGGGAAGTTATAGCTAGTCATGTAACATTCTGTTAACTGCATCTCAAATTCTCAATGTATAGATCTTAAAATATTAGCTTCTGTTAAGTTTACTTACTGATAATGAAATATTTGAGGATACTTGGTTTACAATATAAGTTATGAGTTTAAAATGTTTAAAATTCATATATATTTTGTTTATTTTTACTAATAAAAATTTTCAAATTTTAGTTGATACTTATAACCCTAAAAAAACAAAAAAAAAAAAAAAACAAAATTATGTTACTTGTACATGGTAAACCTTTACCACGGTGTTTCAAATAGATTTGTGCTCAGTGCTCATACCAAGTTGACCAACTCGTGTGTTAAATGTATTTAATAATTAAAACTGTCCATTAAACAATACATCAAGTTGTCCCAAAAAATAAAAATTGTAAAAGAAACGAACCCACAATAGTAAAATCTACCGATTACAAGAACCACTTATGCGGACGTTTTCCCAAAGTAAGCTTAAGTAGCAAAATATATACGTAAATGGTTGCGTGGCAAAAGTATTTACCAAACTAAGCTTTTAGGGTAAAACGCTGTCTCGGACAGGACAGCGTTTTATGCCCTAGTTTTTTTTATAAAAAATTCAACTTAAAAACGTTGTCTCAGACAGCGTTTTACATGTTGACTTTTGTTTTTTAAATTTCGTAATTTTTTATATTAAAAAAAAAATTACACTAAAACGCTGCCTCAGGCAGCGGTTTTAGTGTATAATTTTTTTTTTTTTTTTTAATTTCTAGTTTAAAAAAAAAAGAAAAAAAAATATTAAAGCTGTTGTGTTCTTGAGCTGCCCCATTTTCCAAGCTTAATTAACCTTTTTTCTTCTTTGTTCTACACGTAATGTTCATGCACTATAGATTAGTGTCTCCTTCTAGGATTTTTTGTATTTGGTTTTTACCAATTATTTGACCCTCTTCCTGTTTTCACTCCTTTAATCAAAGTTTCTACTGTTCTTTTCTCCTTCACTTTCACTATACTCCTACCTTTAACCTTTTCTGTCATTTGTTGTGGCTTTACTTGAGCAACACACCTTCGTTTTGGATGGTATGTAGAATTTGCTCATGAATTGATTTTGTTAAACACAAAACAATGACAGCAATCAAAGCATATGTATTTTCAGTATATTGCAATCATGTGAATATGGACTTAAATACAAAGAGGAGAAGAAGATAGGAAGCAACAATCGTATCCCAACCCCAACCGCAATACTCGAATACGATACGATAATTATCACATATTGATAATTATCCACCCAAATAATACAATCATTATCACATATTGATAATTATCCACCCCAAAGAATACAATCATTATCATAATAACGCAATGGTGTATAATATTTTTTTTTTCTTTTTTTGTTTTTAAACTAGAAATTAAAAATAAAAAAAAATAAAAAAAAATAAATAAAAAATTATATACTAAAACCGAGCGTTTTAGTGTAAATTTTTTTTTTTAAAAAAACAAAAGTCAACATGTAAAACGCTGTCTGAGACAGCGTTTTTAAGTTGAATTTTTTATAAAAAAAAAAAAACAGGGCATAAAACGCTGTACGAGACAGCGTTTTACCCTAAAAGCTTAGTTTGATAAATACTTTTGCCACGCAACCATTTACGTATATATTTTGCTACTTAAGCTTACTTTGGGAAAACGTCCCACTTATGCAGTGTCAAAAGTCTCAAAACACATTCAATTTCAAATCACTGATTCACTTGCTCTTAAAGTACCAGAAACCAAAATAAACCAAAAAAAACAATAGTTTTTACACCTGCAAATCTGGAAATATTCAGCTGACTTTTCTTCACCAACCCCATTAATCAAGTATGAAACTTTCTCTCTCCTCAACATTTCGACCATCTCCTTCACCATTCTTCAATACCCATTTCACTCCTAAACATTCACTTCCTTTAATAAAATGTCAACAATCAAAAACTCAGAAACAAAATTGGCCTAATCTAAAATCAATGGGTAAAAAAAACAGGAAAAAAGGGCTTGAAGATTTAAGTGATCAACTCTATCAATTTGCTTCCTTTAATCTTGATCAAGCTCCTGCTCGTAGACAAGTTCGATCTGCTTTCATTGATTTTCATCAAAATATTGATCATGTTTTATTTAAGGTAATTTTTTTTTCTATATTTAGCTAAGTTTTATACCCATTAATTTCTTACTATTATTGCCAATTTTAAATGCTTTTTTAAAAGTTCATTGACTTTGACTGACGTTTGACTATTGCTTTACTTTGGTTAGCTTGCTCCTCCTGGGATCAGAACAGAGGAGGTAATTTTGCTAATCTTGCATGATTTCTTTTGTTGAAGTTTTATTAATTCAGGTGAAAACAAAATGCTTCAATTTTAAACAAATGTAGGTGTTTGTTTTTGTTTAGGTTCAGTCACTTCAAATTACATACAAATCAACCATTTGTGAAAACAACTTTTATGTGATTTGGGGCGATTAAATTTGTTATAATACCCGTAACTTGTTGTACACAATATACCCGTTTAGACACAAATTTTGAAAATGAATTAATTTAAGAGTAGAAAATAATGTAAAACGTACTTGTTTGATTATACGGGTTGTATTGATGAGAATGTTGTTTATTTAATGATGTAGTGGTACGAATTAAATTCGAAAGGACAGGAGATCTTTTGTAGGAGTTGGTTGCCAAAAGAAGGAGATCAAATCAAAGGTGTTGTTTGCTTTTGTCATGGATATGGTGATACCTGCACTTTTCTCTTTGAAGGTATTATGAATGTTGAGCTATATATGACTAATTATCGAATGATTTTTAATAAATTTTTGGTATAATTAAGGTTTAGTAAGACGAAATTTGTGTTTTTAGGTATCGCGAGAAGAATTGCAGGATCTGGGTATGCATTATATGCTGTGGACCATCCTGGTTTTGGTCTTTCTGATGGATTACATGGTTACATTGCAAATTTCGGAGATTTAATTGATAATGTGATTGAACAATATGCTAAAATTAAAGGTCTGTTTAGCTATATTAGTGTGGCTTGTTTTATGAGGATTATTGTATATTTTCTCCCAACTGTTTGTTTGAATAGATAAGCTGATTGAATTCAGTTTTAATATGATAGGAAGGCCGGAGTTGCAAGGTCTGCCTCGTTTCATATTTGGGCAGTCAATGGGTGGTGCGGTTGCATTGAAAACCCATCTCAAAGAGCCTGACCAATGGGATGGAATGATTCTTGTTGCTCCTATGTGTAGGGTAAGCTAACCTCAATTCGCACCTCAATACCGTTATAGTTGTCAACTGAACTCTGAAACTTGATGCTTTAACCAATTTGCGCTTGATTGAATGGCATGATTGATCCTGACATAAACCTGTTTATGTTTCAAGCTGCATTTTCCATGTTCTCAAGAATGCTAACTTTTTGTTGGTCTAAACATGCATACTACGAGTATTTTGCATGTGTGAAGTCTCTGAAGTCTGAACCTTCATAAATTGGCGATTTTATGGCCATAATCCTTCAGCTCCAAAGCTTTGTTTAGATATATACTATATATGACTGTCCTTGTGAATTGGAATGAGTCTCTTATGAATGCAAACAGGATATTTGCAGAGAACTAATTTTTTTTTTTGTCAAGTTATTGTAGAAGTAACCATATTTTTTCAATAATGTCTTATATCTGGAGGCTTACTGTTCTTTGATTCTGTTATTGGTCTAAGGTTCATGGTCTTAATGGCGTCCGAAATTTCAATGTATAACCATACGATTAAGTCACTGTATCTCTCTGTCGTTCTGTCCAAAAGAATGGTAAGGAATTCTGAATTTGGTTTGTACCAAATAATTGTCAAAAGTTCCCTTTATGTGGGCTTGTAACAAACTGCATGACCCTTTGTTAAAAATTTATTAGCTGACTTGTTTTCATGATGAATTGATGATGTTTTTATGAATATGGCATGTTCTAATTTCTGTATTGAAGATGTCTCTGACCCTTTTATTTAATCTTAAGGTTTCAGAGGAAGTGATGCCTCCTGCTTTGCTTTTGAAAGCAGCGAATCTCCTCTCGAATGTAATTCCAGAAGTCAAATTCTTTCCAACCCAAGACCTAGCAGAGCTTGCATTTAGAAATGAGAAGTATAGGAAATTGGTTTGTCTCTGAACTCGCCTTTAAAATCATTTGGTCTTAGCAATTTGCAGAGTCTAACATAACTCTATTTAAAATTATGATTCCAACTGATTCACTGTCCATTTAAGTAGACCATACAAATATAGCTATAAGTATACTTAGTCCTTTTTCTATTCTGCATTTGTTAGGCTTACTACAACATGATCTGTTACTCTGATCGTGTGCGATTGAAGACTGCTATGGAGATTTTGAAGGTCACAAA